CAGTTCATACATCAGCCCATTTACGACCTCCTCCTGTATTCCCTGGTCATTTTTTGGAAAAGTTTTTTCCAGGATTGCACTTGTTCTTTTTTCTGTGGTTCTGAACTGGACACAGTAATATTTGTCCTAAATCCTGGTGACTGACCATCTTTCTCTGTATAAACTTGGCTTGCTTCAAGCAAAACCCCCACACTTCAGTGATTCCAAGAAAAAAGGAACATAACCACAAGGTTTCCTCAAAGATTTTGCATACAGCTGATTCACTTAACCTCAAAGATAATAAATTACGGAAAAATTTGGACTGCTTCCACGTATTCACCATGTTCTGTAAAAAAGCTGAATTTTTTTTTTTTTTTTTTCCCCCTGACAGAGACTGGAGGAGACTATGTTCAGTCAGCTCAAGTGTGCTGTTGAGCATGTTTGTGGAATGCATGATACCACTGTTCTGGGACTTGATTATTCTGTCTGACTTGTTTCTAATGCCTTAGACTTTCATGCTATTACAGGAAAGCAGAATATATTATAAGGCAGAAAATTTCATTTTTAAAGAATAAATACTCCTCTCCAGGAAGAAAAAGAAAAAAAAAATCTAGAAGTGTCTTGTCGGGCAACAGACAAGAGCAATGATGTCTTTAGTAAAGCTTTATTAAAGGACTTCAGAGAAGTCATTGTAATAATTTAATGACATAGGTTGCTTCGGGGCAAAACTAGATTCTTGATGAGGGAAGATGACCTCCTCTTCTATCGCTTTATCATTTCCACCACAGAAGGTCTCTTCTCTTCTTGTGGCACTTAGTGGTGTCAAACACATGCTGTCTGTGCCAGATCATATAAAAGCTGCATAATAATTTTCTCCATCTTAGATAAGCTTGTCATGTTGATGTAAACACTTGTTTACTCAAGTAAACACTTGAGCTTATGAACAGTGGTTTCAGTGTTTATGGTATTCATTCCTAAGTCCCTGATTTTCACTGCGCAACTCTCCTTTTTGTACTACTTTGTCATCTCTTAGTAGACAACAGGTCATAGATTGGCTTTACCTTGGTATTTCTCCATTGTTGCGATACTTATAATGCTGAATTTTTCTTTTGTTTTTAAAGTAACCTAGTCTGGTATGTATTCTCTGAAAAGTGGCCCTATGCGTCAAAGCGGCATCCTGTGTTAAGTTCATAAAATTTGTAAATATCCAACTCAGGAGTCATGCTTAATATGCTTTTCGTGGCCGCCTCTTGTGTTAGAAAGTCATCATCTTTCCTGCAGGTTTTCTGCAGAAATATTCTGACCCAGGTGCACGTTTTTCAGGGTACTTCTGCGTGCATTAAGGCTCCTGTAGTGTGGCGCCTGTTTTGCAAGCAGAATGGAAGCAAGCCCAATTCTATGATACGATGAGTAGTGAGAACACGTGCGGGACTTTGCAGGGTTAAGGAACTGGCCGGCCTACCCCAGAGCCTGCCCCCTCCACTCCATCGCAGCTGGATTTGTTGAGTTATTTTAGTATGTTTTACTTAGGGCATGGTATGAATCATCCAGCAAAAGGTTTTGCTTTTATTACTGAAAACAAATACTCATTTTTAAACTTGAACCCAAAAGAATTCAGACTATTGAATTGATGTGGCATGCTGTGGATGCTGAGATCAGCACTGGTTCCTATGCCTGAGGAGCAGAAGTAGCAGATAGGAGATCTGGCAGGGGAAGGGAACTAGCTCAGCCCAGCAGTGTAAGGGAGTGGGCAATGTCTGCAGCTTTCTTTCCTCTGCTCTTCATTTGTAAGCTATTGTGACTAGGTTTCAAATCAGTACTCTTAATTTCTGTGATCATTTGTGTCTGTCTGGCAATTAGTTTCTATCACTGTTAGTTGCTTCTGGGTTTGAGCAAGTAACTGCCATGAAAAAGACCTTTATAAAATGGGCCAAAATTGTACTGTTGTCTTTTAAGTGCATACAGTGGTAACTAGACTGTGCTGTAAAAAAAAAAAACAAACCCCAAACAAAACAACAAAACCAAAAACACAACAACAAAAACAAAAAAAAAAACCCAGAAAACATTTTGAGAGCAGAAATCAAACCTACAGGATGCATGTTCAAAGCCAGGGATATTTTGATGTAATTTTAATCATTAAAAAATTACAAAGGAAGGAAAATGCAGCATGCATACTAAGAACATAGATTACTGACACAGAAAGGTGAAATCGGTTGTTACTGGCTCCTTAATTTTAAAGAATATATCAAAAAGCTTTCTGTAATGTAGCTCAGACGCTCTTGATGCTTGAGGGGTCTGGAGAACAAGTCTTATGAGGAGCGGCTGAGGGAACTGGGGTTGTTTAGCCTGGAGAAAAGGAGGCTGAGGGGAGACCTCATCGCTCTCTACAACTACCTGAAAGGAGGTTGTAGCGAGGTGGGTGTCGGTCTCTTCTCCCAAGTAACTAGCAATAGGACGAGAGGAAATGGCCTCAAGTTGCGCCAGGGGAGGTTTAGATTGGATGTAAGGAAAAATTTCTTTACTGAAAGA